ATTTAAACTGATTTCCCCTTATCTCCATATAGATGCTGGCTCGTAAATCTGGTAATATCATCAATATGGCATCTGTGGCATCTAGTATCAAAGGTAATAATTATATTCTGTTGCAACCTATTTGCATGGGCTGCTGTAATACATCATGTTGTATATCAAGATTTGGCCCTTTGCTCTTAATTACATGTGATGACTGACATTGTTCCATGTAGCTCTTGGCATATTACCTTACCCCCATTATCTCCAGTTTGGCTGATGGTGAAATTGGATAAATGCCAGGTCAGGTGAACTTTGCCCTCTCCTAATTGCTTATCCTTAATTGCATGTCCAGGAGTTGTGAACAGATGTGTCTACAGCACGTCTAAAGCTGCCATCATTGGACTGACCAAATCAGTGGCAGCTGATTTCCTGGAACAAGGAATCCGCTGCAATTGTATCTGCCCTGGTATGCTACTTTATTGATGGGTTTCCTATATTAACTTAAATACCTTTAACATACAAAAACGTCCCTGTACCTAATGATTATATGAGTCATTTTGCTTCTTTTGACCTTTACAGGAACTGTAGATACGCCATCATTACGACAGAGAATTCAGGACAGACCTGATCCAGAGCAGGTACTGCTTCCATTACCAAGACATTGCACTATACAGCCAAGAAACACAGTATTCTGAAGCTGTTTGCATTCTCCAAATGCAAAACTCTTTTAGAGCTCTCAGGGAAGATAACTAATAACCAACTGAAGCACAGCCAGAGATGTTTCACACATGAAACATGGCAGCGACTTCTTATCAAATAACTTTTGATGATGATATACTTGGGCAATTATAGAGAAGCTTTGGCTTCTCTGAGTGAAAGTTAATGAGGCTTGAAGTTTATATTTTACACAATGTTTAGTCATACAGCAAAGCAAAACTAAAAATAAATAAATAAACCATTTAAAAGAACAGTTTTCTGTTGTAATATATTTTAAAATGTAATTTATTCCTGTGATGAAAATTTGAATTTCCAGAAGCCATTACTCCAATTTTCAGAGTCATATGATCACATGATATTATCTATATGTTGAAATAGTATTTTTGCTGCTTAATATCTGTAAACACCGTAATACACTACCATTCAAAAGTTTTCAATAAGTTTAAAATAAAAAAAGAACAGTAAAGACATTTGTTACGGCGTGTGAGAACCGTAAATGTATTAGAATTATTATAAATGTAAAAAAGATTGTACTGTAAAAATTGTAAAACCATTTTCCACCATGAATCTAAATTCTGTGATCCAGTGGTCAGCAGAATAACATGACACATCTGCTTATTAAAACCTGAGAATGGCTGTGTATGACCATTTACAATGCTTCTGTGAAAATAATTTTCCTCACACAAGGTGCTATTTTTTTCCCGTTAGCATATTATCGAAAGCCCTATCGAACAATTGATTTTTTTCGAATGAGTACACATTTTTTTTATACAAACACTAACCAATGTTTTTTTCCAACAGTGATTACTAATCCTATAAACACACAGTTCAGTGTCATTCTCCCTGTCATAGTGTTTTTGTCTTTCATCTGTCAGGCTTTTAAAGACTTTATGGCCAGACAGAAGTCTGGTAGATTGTGCACTGCAGAAGAAGTGGCACATCTGTGTGTGTACTTGGCCTCAGATGAGGTGAGACTTCAACAATTGTATTTTTTTTTTCTGTATAATTTAAGACGCACCATGTGCTAATGAAAAGCGGTGTTGCCATTTTAACAGTTCACTTGGATTAAAAATATAGTTGGATGTTTAAAAATAATCAAAGGATTTTTATTCCTGCAGTCTGCCTACGTAACAGGAACTGAAGCCATCATTGATGGAGGATGGAGACTCTGAGGATATTTTGTTACATTTATTAAATAACCTTTAACATGCATGCAGTTTGACTTCCAGAGAAACATAGTCACTGATTTTCTTTATCTTTAAAACTTTAATATTATATTGACAGTTATTTAAAATAATAACTTTTTGCTATGGTGCTGTTGATTGTACTGAATATGAATTGAATCATTCTTGGCCACTGATGTAAAAAATTGTGGATGCCAAGCTCACTTATTGCACAACATGTCATCCAATCTTCAGCTTTGTTTTAAAGATAAATTGCTTGGTTTAAATAATTGTAAGATGCCAAATGTAATCAAATTTTTTTTTTTTTAAATTAGACAAATTTCCAATTCATAAATAAAGGTTGAGAATCAATGTTTTTAAACTGAAACCTTGCATCAAACCAATTAGTAATTTAAAACAATTCGCTATGAAACTCGGATGAGACCGGAAGCCTCGCACATAAAATTTACAAATAGCCATGCCCGATCTTAGGGGAAAAATAAGGTTGTGGCTAGAAGGGATACAGCAAAAACCGGAAGCTAACAATAAATTTAAATTTCTACCTATTAGATTGTGTTTTATTAACGTCTACACCTACCCCAACCCTAAACCGACCCCTTACAATAATGCAAAAATAGTAATTATTGTTGTACATTGTGAGAAAAATTACGCTGTATTGATGTGTGCATGCCCAGTAGTTTTTGCTGTATGCCATCTAGCCTTAACCATAGGCCTTAACCAAAAAAATAAGGTGGATAAAGCATAAAACATTGTGGATTAGTGATGTGTCATTCGCGAACAAGCCGGCTCTAAGAGCCGATTCTTTGTAGCGAATGAGAAGAGCCGACTCCCGTCGGGGAGAGCCGAATCTTCAGCCGGAGCCTTCTATTTTAGCCCAATTTAACAATTGTGAATAGTTTGTGTGTTGGTAAGCAATTTTTTAATTTAGTGTTTTCATAAAAGCCTTATTTTTTTTTGCATTTTTTCGTTACAAAAAAAAATAAAAAGAAAATACACATGCGGCTAATCACATGGGAGGACAGACTAGGATCATACCATTATGTGAAAGAAGGAATGGGGACACGCTACGAAGATAGCGAGTGTAGTGGTACAGGCCAGGTACACAGAGCGGCAGAGAGAGACGGGGTATCCAGATTTAAAGGGGTCATATGATGTTGCTAAAAAGAACATTATTTTGTGTATTTGGTGTAAGGAAATGTGTTTATGCGGTTTAAGGTTCAAAAAACACATTATTTTCCACATACTGTACATTATTGTTTCTCCTCTATGCCCCGACTTTCTGAAACGCGTCGATTTTTACAAAACTCATCGGTCTGAAAAGC